TATTTAACAGTACGTGCCAGAGGCAGAAATAAGAAGACCTCACGGTGACTGTTACGTCGTGGGTGGATATGATGTCTTAAAGAGGTGAGTGGGTTAAATGTGTGATTATATAGGAGGTTAAATAGCAAAAATAGTCCCTTTTGTAATCTACGGAACCATAAAGGATCAAGGCCTGTGAGCCGACAACGTTCTTGGTAAAACAAATGTCGGTGTTCCGGGGTTAAAATTCTCTTGGTAAAAAGTGTTGAACGGATTCTATTTTCTTCCGCTCAGTAGCACGCATAAGGTTAAATAAAAACGAACTGTATTTCAGACCAGGTCTTACGTACATGTTTTAAAAGCGCATTCTAATGTCCCTGGTTTTGAAGTTTTGGAGGATAAATCCGGTCGTTCTACGTGCTTTGGAGACTATCAAGGTACAGTGCTCCGAGAGATTGAGACTCTTGGAGTATGGAACGCCCAAATCCTTTATAACTCCTGGCACATTTATGGCGTGACCTTCAATACTTAGTTGAGGTTGGCGGTCGTCGCCAACCACCATGACTGAGCACTTATGCCAAGAAAGAGAAAGGCGCCATGTGCGGCACCGCTGGGCGAAAGCTTGTAGGTCGATCTTTAGGAGCTCAAGCACGATGTCATGATCTGTCGCCTTATATCGATATGCACCTTTAAGATCATCGGCATACATAAAAGGCTGACCATTCTGAAATAAATCGAGTACATCATTAACGAAAAGGCAAAATAAAAGCGGGCCGAGTACACTTCCCCGAATGACTCCACTCCTCACACATGTGGGGTTGGAGATTGCATTGGAAATCTTAACTCGTTGTGTACGAGTGCTCAGGTAAGAGGATATTGAATTCAAAAGTTTGCCACCTATTCCGAAAGAAGACAGTTTCAAGAGAATAAGAGCATGGTTAACACGATCAAAAGCCTTAGTGAAATCGAAATATACTGTGTAAAGTGCAAAACCATTGTCCCTAGATTGGAGAACATAGTCGAAGAAAGAGAGTTGACAGGTGTCACAAGATGGAGCTTTGAGGAATCCATGCGGAGCAGCACTCAGTAGGTTATTCACTATTAAGTGACACATCATTTTATCTTTGATCAATGTCTCTAAGATCTTCGAAACTGCAGGGAGGGTGTTTATTGGCCGAAAGTCATCAAATGATGTAGATTTGCCGTGCTTAGGAATGGGCAGAATGTGTGATTCCTTCCACAAGTTAGGATAGGTTTCAGTTTCAAGAGCAAGATTAAATATCTTACATAAGAGGGATGGGAAGATAGTGTTTGCATCGGCTTTTAAAATGCTCCTGGGACACCATCAGGGCCTGAACTATAAGATTGACGAAAACACCGAGTCGCAACAGTCACATCCCACAGAGTGAAAGTTGTAGTTTCTAGAACCGCCCTGGTCAATGCCTGGATGGTCGGAAGCGGAGTGGTCGAGTCTTCAATAAACGTTTTGGACAGGAAATCATTGAATCTATCCGCGGTTAACTGGGCATCAACTATTAGATTTCCGAGAGCGTCTCGGTAGTAAGTAAAATTTAAGCATGTTTACCCATTTACCGAAGTTCTCTTTCCCGTCAAATGTGTGGAATGAGGATGAAATGGCGTGGCTGGAGGGTGCCAATGGTCGTCTGGGCCTAGGTGGATCTTCTGCATGCGCTGCCACCAATGTGACGGCCGAATACGTTGAGAGTAGCACACACGAGATAACTCAATGCACCGGGAGTGATTTTCGGATTGAAACGAACTTGAGTTGCAGGACACGTCATAGCACAGCACAGTGGGAGGGTTTATTTACTATAAATGCACATATGCATCAGGAAGGGACGGGGACGTTGAATATATGACAGTGCCTAATAGTACAAGAAACGACAAGTTGAAACATGGAGGTGACCAGTCAGGATGAGAAGGTTAGGCCGACTTACTTGCTAAACAACCGGTGGTGTATGTAGCGCTGTGGGGCGCTGCAAGGAAAGGCCACGAAGGTGCTGACGTACGTTGGACGAAGTTAGCAGGAAGGGACTCGGTAGTTTAGTGAGGAAGAGGCAACGACCATTCTCGCCGACGCATGACCACACCACCCCCAGCCTGTATAGCGGAGAGACATGAACCAGGTTCTTTTAATAGGCAGGAGCGCCAAGTGTGAAAACAGAGGTGCCCGGTGTCTGGACACTGTCTGTTTTTCTCTTTTTGTTTCCAGTTGAGGTGCGCGAAGAAAACGGCCCTCCTTCCCCGGTGGCAGCTTCCAACTCCACCTTCCCTGGATAATTGTGAAGTTAACGTTTCCTTGGATTAGTTGATTCCCCTTTTTGTTCTTCTTTCTTCACTCCTTTCCTCCTCATACAAAAAATCTTGTTAAAATACTCGTTTAATCGTGTGTCTACAGATTGATATTCAACGACGGATGTTTTGAATGCCGATCTGAACGATACACAGTCCGGGCGGAGCGTTCAGGACGCAGACGTTCCGTTACAGGCAACCCATAAGGATACGGATGAGACCACGGCCACGAACCCACATCGAGTTCGGTCGTTACAAGTGGGCCCACGCCAGAAGGGCCAATGTACTCAAACAAATCATTTCAGTTTGCTGGGCGTTGCAGAGAATAGCTACTGGCAGAATTTTCAGATTAGAAGTAGACGTTTATTTCTTCATATAAAAGCGCGGTAGACAAGACTTATATCCTGTCGCACATCGGCTTATCGAGCTTCTCTATTGCCATTCCTACCGCGCTATCTTACGTGCGAAGAGACAGAAATACAGAAGCTAAGACTTGAACTATCCCCATAATAATCGTTTTTTTGACTCTTGAATAATCTCTTACTTATTTACCGCCCAAAGTGAATGGAGCCAATTTTTTTTGCTGAAAATTTTGAACTTACGATTTCAAAATAAACCGAATTCCCCCCTCTCTCTCTCTCTCTAGCTTAACCCCTAAATAATAACAAAATTAGACCCCCAGAACACGATACAAAAGACATGCAAGACATCAAGGAGCCGGACCACAGAAATCTCTAGAAGCAGGTAAAGGTCGATAGACATGAGGTTAGAAGAAGATAAAGTGAAAAAGGGCGTTGGACAAGGCCTCTCATCCGGTCGAAAAACAGGTAAACAAAGCGAACAGACGGAGATTAAACATGTCCTTGCACGTCCCTAAGTTCGGAAAATCTGGCGTTACAGAACTTGTCTTGGCAGAAATAAAGTAGCAATCGACGACTATCAAAAATCTGTGGACAGAAATCCTATGGATACATCTGTGCTACGAAAGAACGCTGGCTGCACGCCCCATGCTTATCTATCATGATGTAATGCAACCGGCCATGCGAGGCAACGAAGTAAAGCCTAAAGACGCTCACTAAAAATGGGCATGACTTAGAGGCAGACCCGGAGGCCACAAGGATAATAACAGGCAGAAAGTAAGAAAGATAGCTCTGGTTGAAAGACCCGACGCGACATTTGAGAATCGACAACTAAACTCTACGCGTAAGCGCAGTGCGTGCACAATAATGGAGATAGTGCCCAAGTCTGTATGCAACCTACCATTCATAAAAGGAAGCAAAATGAATATATGTGTTCTTTCCCCGAAAGATCAAATTGTATGGTCGTTCAGGGAATTTATGAGATTCCTGACAAAGCCCCAAAACAGTGGGTCAATCAGGAATTTTGACATCCAAAACTTACTAAATGACACGCAACAGCCCAGCGATGCGGTCGAAATCCAAGAGATCCTCTGCTTGGGGCCCTTTGTCAGAGATAACGCAGAAAAGACGCGAGCAAAATCATTGGAAGTCGTTTTAGAAAGCAAGCAGTAGGCAGATCTTATCGTACCCAAAAAATCGAGGCTACAAAACCACCCTGATGGTGTGCTCTTCTCAGTTAGATTGCTCTCCCATTGAAGAGGACCCTGGTGGCAGAGCTGAAAAGACGTCAGAGCGCAGCAGGAAAAGAATCTGAAGTTGTTAGACAAGGAAATCATAAAAATGGAATGCAAGTTTCTTGGAACCGCCCGGCGACAATGGCGGTTACCACGCCAGTTATCAGTTTTATCGAACACTTGGAAATTTGAAAATAGACTGTGGACCGGATATGTCGTGCGAAGTGCACAACAACAGTTGTCATACTTAAGAACGAGATCGTCAAGACACCCAGGTCATACGTCTTATCCGGCAAGCTAAGATTAGTCGTCGCAGTGGCCTAAAATCCACAAATTTCTCTTCCCCTCTATGTCCATATTCTACAGCATTTACATTACCAATAAATTTTTAGTTTAGGCTGAATAGTCAACAGGTAGCAAAAACCCAAATAAGCATGCAACAAACACTATCGCTGTATCGAACATCGCAAGATTTCATAACAACACTAAAAGACCAGAGAGACTTTAAAGGACCGGAAGACCAATTTTTCCAATAATCTCCTTAATATTATGGAACATCATACTAAGGAATCCGTGGCCTCTTGAATAGTCCCATGCTCACCTACAAGCTTTGACTTCTATCGGTAACCATTAGGAATAGCCGTTGGCATAAATTGGTAAGGTGTTGCTCTGGCGGTCGGGTAGGTCTGTAGTTATGTCCGAGGAAGGTGAGGTGGTCAATGCGGCTACTCTCCCGCTACCCCAGCTGCAAGAAATTGTCAAGCAATATGAACAGAAGATTCAGTACATAAATGCATCACTGCAGCAGCTCAGGAGACTTCAAGGCTCGTTTGCATCCTCACGTGAATGCCTAAAGCAGTTTTCGGACGAAAATCGTGACAAAACCATACTGGTCCCTCTGACATCCACCTTGTGCGTTCCTGGAAAACTTGTAGAACCCACACACGTACTCATCGATATTGGAACTGGATATTTTGCAGATGTGGTATGTTACAATCCATGCGCGCCTTCATGATGGTTCTTTAGGAAGCCAAAGATGCCGCGAAACACTTTACGAGGCGCATCGACTTTATCGATAAGCAAATCGAAAAAATTGCTCCAGTGTTGGCCCAGAAGTCACAAGAACACAAAAGCCTGTCGGCGGTCCTCGAAGCGAAAATGCAAGCCGTCATGAAAGCCCAAACAGCCAAATCCTGCACATAGGTCTCATCATGTTTGTTAGATAAAGACTTTTCGTTTGCGATGTCTATGCTTCCTTCTGCCATTTGCTCTGTGTTCTTAATACTGGTACTCCATAGCATCTTACAACCGTCTCGGAATCCCAGTTGTGTCATCTCCAGTACTGTTCTGTAGAGCAACCAAGAACCTTATTCCCTGTCACCGACCTTCAGGTTCTCGAAAGTGGTACTGCATTGTGGAACTAGTAATAGAACTTACCTGGTCAGGCGTACTAGTGTTCGTTATGCAGTGACGTATACGGGTCCTTGTTTTCCTACTGTAGGTTCACAAATAGCTGCCCCGCGAAACGCCTACTAAGTTTAAACTATCCCTTGAGGCACGCCTACCTATGATGGGGAGTGAAATTTCTTTTGATCTCTATCGTGCCGTTTGTTTGCGTTTTACCTATTAGCGCAGTGAATGCTTCAGTCAGCGACCTTGATTTAACACAAATAGGGACTGTCGGCCACGTGTCTCCCCATACTTATCTCCGTAGTTTTTTAAAAAACACCCCATTTCATGAGGCTGCCTTGATTTTGTTCCCTACAACCAGGGAAATGGCATAGAATCCGTTGTTTAGGGCTGACACTTAGTATCAGATCCTAGCTCGATTACACGGATCAATGGTAACGCTGTAGACTGGTCAAGGGGAATTATCGGCGACGGGGGTTGGTCAAGAGTCATCTCCGGTTCCGCTATAACGCCAACCGAGTTGCTCCTCATCGGTTCTGCACATGTAAAACGCACCAGCAAACCCCTCTGCATGTATTTTTGTCCTCTAAACGTGTAGAATACTGTATGTGGCACTTTCACCCACTGGAGCAGTGTTGTTATATTTATCATGCGTAGTAGGCTAGATCGCAGTTGGTAACCAGGCCCCGTATTACAGGTGGTTGGGGGGGTTGCTTACTGGGGCAATTTTGTGGGGTTCCATAATCACATCTGACTCATTTGACTTCCGTTTTACGTCTGAGGTTAGGATTAGGGTACCGGTAAATGGTCTCCGATTTTCGGGTTAGGGTTATGCCTTTAGGCTTAGGTTTTCGGGTTACGGTTAGGGTTTGAGCGTACGATTAGGGTACAGTATTACGGTTAGGTTTTCCAGTTACGGCTACGTCTAAAGGCTACGGTTGCGTTTACGATTTAGGTTAGGGTTAGGGTTGCCGTTAAGGTTAACGGTTAACGTTTAGGGTTGAGATAAGGGTTAGGGGCAGGGTTAAGGATTAGGGTTAAGGCCGCCGTCCACTTCCCCATTCCTGGCTACTAACTGCAATTTAACCCGTATGTAGTTTAGGTGTCCCTCCAAGGAGACGCAGTCCATTCCTAACGACAGTCGGCGCCTCCGAGAATGCATATAGGGCAATGTACTCCCCAACATTAGATCGCAGTGTCGGAAGGGGGTGGAGCATTGCATACAACTCGTGCATGACATGGTATGTCGACCATGGCAGTAACTAGTTCCACCGCAAGGTTACCCAGCTGCAACAAACTTGGGTACGAGACGACGGTTGCGAAGCTTCTCTCTGCGCTGCTGGAAACAGTGTCCGGTGTTCGGAAGCACAACACCGCCTGGATATCAACTGCTGTGGGCATAGCCGACAATCACAGAGCAGGGCCCGCACTATACTTGGTGATCGTTTGACCGTAGTTCCCGACGATGTACACTGTTTGCTCTGCAGCAGGGAGGAGGTAGGAGCCGTGGCTTGCACATGGCCGCATTTATGGTGATAGCGGGCCTACGCTGCATCTG